GATTTACCTACGGAATCGTAAGTAGGAAGTCGAGAACGATTAAACAAGACCAATACAATCTTGACATCTTTGACTCCCTACTTAAGAAATTCCATCCCGATTACCATTACGAGTACACTTTTAGTTTCAGTTCAAAAGTAACCCCTAGTAGTTTATACTAGCAGTCAGCACCGTCTGAACACAAACCACGTGGGGAGCCGATGAATATAAGCGTTTGATGCCTAATCAATAATGATCCTTCATATCTCGATGCAAAATGAAAAGAAATTGCACCAAAGTACACGGTCGCATATAAGAAACGAGAAATATGAGAAGGAATCCGTTGCGAGTTGGTTCAGAGGTACTGGTTCTGAACTCGATAGGGCGTGCTACGGCTCGATCCCCCACAACCTCCAAATCGGATAAAATATGTAGGGTTACCACACTCGTGTACCAGACCCCGTGCTCAAAAAGGATCAAAATCGCTAACCGGCTACTCCACTACGTGCGTGCTAAGGCAAACGGCTTAATGTGATTGCGCTAGAATGAAACCGGGCGAAATAAGATCGAAGAACTCCAGGTGAAATCGTAATGTAATTGCCGATTGTTTCATTTAACGGGAAGTCGACGACATAGCCTGTTGCTTGTGTCATTAGTGTATCGGTAGTGTTCTATCAAAGTACCGGATTATCCGACAAAACGATCCCCCGTACGGTTTGTTATGAGTATGCGTGAATAAAATCTTGTCCGCCGATTTTCAACCGACTATTTGCTTGAGGACAAGCAAAGGTTTAATTTGGGGAAGTTTGATAACGAGAAAACGCATCGATTATATTGCTAGGTTTCATTGACGTTTTATCGCATATTCACCGTTTTAACACTCGATTTCCCGAGTTTTTTCTTACCATTTTGCAGGTACATCAGTATATGGAGCTAAATCACGAATTAAGAGCAAAAGGAACAAAAGAAACCATAAAGAGATGAAGAAATGAAGAAACCTGCAAAAGACTGCATAATTTTTTGCAGCCACGATCGTCACAAGGGTGTCACGACCGTGACACCCCAATTTGAGCCATCACGACCGTAAGAGAGTGGTCACGACCGTGACACTTAAAAACCTCAAGTTACAAACGTGAAGACCTTGTCACGACCGTAACAAGGGTAAAACTTGGTTTTGACTCAGACTACGTCAAGGCATTACGTGAAGACCACTTCTCCTCTTACTTCTCCTCTTGGCATTACGTGAAGACCACTTCTCCCATTTTGTTGCCACGTTCCAGCACTCCTTCAACAACTTCAGCAAGGCCCATGCAACAAAGGACCAAAAATCCAGCCCATTAAGGACTCTATAAATAGTACAAGCTCTGTGAACACAGGGGACAGATTTCTTTATTCAAATTTCTGCGGAAGCTCTGCCGAACTGTATTACGAACCAGCCTTTCTATTCCCGCCTTAATTTTAGTTTTCTGTTTCGCTTTTATTTGTATCCAAACCAACCATATAACAATTTCCAACATCAGGAAATTGTTATACATTTATTTGTTTCTAAACCTTCAGCATTCGTTTATTTTAAATTTCCGCCAACTCCAAGCTTTCCGGTTTGTGGAAGAAGGAGTCTGCTCGAGTATTTGTTAACCAGGTTTTTCATTATATTGCAATTTAATTTAATTATAATGTTTATTTATTTTTCTGCCATGAGTACGTTATTATTAAATTCTCTGTCTCTGTCTGATTCAACATCGATGAGTAGCTAAACACCTTAGGGCGGTATGTAGTTATAATAAACTTAACCGGTAAAATATAACCATAGGCTGAAAATAATTAATCACTTAACATTCTGGCTGATACTTTTTAATTGAAATAGACCTTTTCGTTACGAGAGTAAGAAAAGAGTATTAGGTTAGGTCAAGACCACGAGAGTGTGAGATTTTAACCAGATAGCTAAAGTCAGGCATTTAAATTAAACACAGCGAGAGCGCTTTAAGATAAATTAGAATTACTTAGTTTCCAAAAATTACCTCTAAACACTTATGGGCTAGCGAGAGCAGGCATAGGGCTTTAGGGATAAGATCTGATATAAGACCACGAGAGTGTGAGTTGAGGGTATTTAAACTGGTAACCTCTACCGAATAGATTAAGTGAACATCTTTATAAGCCTAGGTTAGATTGACCCACCTAAGTTAGTATAATTACATACCGACCGCCTTAATATTACTTTATTAAAACTTAAATTCAATTCCGCCTTTAATAGTCTTAAAAACCAACAAAAATCGTGACAACCATTCGCCTTAGCTAAACTAGCAGTTCATCTAGCACTAAGTAACAATAGAATCCCTGTGGATCGATAATCTTAAATATTACTTCGATAGGCTGTGCACTTGCAGTAACATACCGCTAGACGCATAAGTAGACACGTCTTTAGCCCATCAGAGCGAAGGCGAAGCTTCGCCAGGCGAAGCCTAGCGAATGCTGGCGAGTAATTATGATTAAGTCCCAGTGGACTTCGCTGGCGAGTTCGCCAAGCGAAGGTGGATAGCGAAGGTTCGCCCAGCGAAGGGGCTAGCGAATGGTGGCGAATGAAGTCAGTAGCTACTGACTTGGGCTCGCTGGGAAGTCTCGCCAGGCGAAGCCTAGCGAGTGTTCGCTGAGAGAGTTCGCCAGGCGAAGGCCAGGCGAAGGTTCGCTGCGAGGGTTCGCCAGGCGAATGAAGGCGAATGTGACAGCATTTTTCTTTTGCTGTGTTGTTCATGTGGTGATTGTTTGGTTGATTCACATAGGTTAATACCTCTATGATATGAATAAGTATGTGATCCATGGTGATGATATGTGTTGTGGGTAGCCTTTGGGCGTGAATCCTAGAGTTGTGATATGAATGATTAATTGTAATCGGTTAAAATACATGATAACATAATGATGATTATGAGTGTATTAATTGATGAGTTTGTGAATGTTTGATTGTTGTGTACAATTATGTAATAAGTATGCATGAGAACATTGTGGATATATGTGTGCATGGCTTATAATTGTATTATTGGTATTGTGAGGCGTATACCTTGTATAAAATGGCATGAGATGAATAATAAACATACTATGAAAAATGTATTGTGAATGCATATTGTTTATATGCGATTGTATGTTAAAATACATGAAGAATGCATGAGAGCATATTGATGGATATGCGTGCATTGCTTGATAAATATAATGTTTGAAATGAATTGTGATTGTATGCGGGTAATGCATAAGAACATATCGTAGATATGTGTGCATTGTGTGATAGTATTGAATTATGAATACGTTGATGATTATTATGATAAGTTGTGTGTGCAATCATGATATAATTCACGAAGGGGTGAATTATTCGAATACATGTGAATACAATGATGAATGTATGTGTATTGTCTAATGAATTATGAGTGCATATTTATATGCGATTGTTGTGTAAATGCATGGGAACATATGTGATATGTGTGCATTGTTGTTGAATATGATAATGATGATGTTTGGAATGAATACATTGATAAATGTTTGATATATGTTGTATGTGCAATCATGATGAGATTCTCGAAGGGGTGAATTATTTGAATGCATGGGATTAAGACGCGGGAACGGTCTTAAGTGCATTTATTGTGATTAGTTGATTGTACATGCATCATTCAGTCAAGAGACAATGTCCGTTAGTTTCGTGGAAACTAGTGGCTTGTCCCAAACCTAGAAGGGTGGGTTTGAAGCCTAGGGGACGGGCTTGGTTGTTATCGGTCTAGAAGGGTGGACCCGGTTTAAAGTAAAAACCGAAAAATGATAACGAGTTATCGGTCTAGAAGGGTGGACCCGGTTTAGAGTGAAAACCGAAAAAAGATAACGAGAGTCGGTACCGCATAGCATTGAGTTGCATTGAATATGTTGAGTCACATTGCATAATATTGTTGTGGTACAAATGTGCTTGTGAATGATTGTGAAGTCAAGCATGAAGGGATGTGCTTGTGGATGTTCATAATGTTGATATATGTGAACGTGATATGATTATGATTATGAGAATGAAGTGTGGTGAGAAATGTGAATATGTGTTATATGATACCTATATATATGTAATCTTATGCCTTGATTATTATGGTAATATTTCTCACCCTTCTGCTGTTTTATAATGCTCTATGAGGCATTGCAGATTAGATCGCTGGAGGCCTTTATGAAGTTCTGCTTGTAGTTCGAGGTCGCTACGTGTGTAGCGGTTTAGTAATTATTTATGGGTCGAGTCATGCTCTGGTCGTGTAACACGGGGATCGATTGCTTATGTTTTAGGATTACATTATGTAACCTAAGTTATGTTTTCATATTTGGAATAATTGAGATGATGAGATGTTGGCCTTAGTGCCTAGAGATGTTGAATTTATATGATGAAAGTAAATGTTTATTTTAAAGGATTTTTATTAATGGATCCGCTGCTAAATGGAAAGGTGTTTATGAGCATGACAGATTGTTTTAATGTGGTGCAAGTTTTGTGTGATGCCCTTTTTTGGATGCATGTTAACTTTTACTCTGATTATGCATATATTATTTGCGGGGTTTAGAAGGGTGTTACACCTCATATGCAAAAAACTCTCGACACCAATTAAAGAATTCTTGCTCTTAAGTCTTTTTCCCAAGTAAGAAACAACTACATCATTACATGTTGCGTTGTCAAGGGTAATTGTTGACACTTTCCTAAGCCCCCATTACTTCAAAACATCTTCCACTTTTTTAGCAATGGTGTCACCCTTGTGATTTGGAACTAAACTAAAAATAATAATCTTTTTATGATAGATCCATGCATTGTCAATGAAGTGTGCAGTTATTGCCATGTAACTAAGATTTTGAATTGAAGTCCAACAATCTGTTGTTAGTGCAACCCTAGCTCAATCAGATTTAAAAAAGGCTTTAAGTTTTGACTTTTCGGTTAGGTAAAGTTGAAAACAATCCCTAGCAACAGTCCTCCTTGAAGGGATAGTAATTTGTGGTTGTAGTTGTTTGCATAGTTTCTTAAAACCCTAACCCTCTACCACTCTAAAGGAATGCTCATCAAGAATAACAAAGGAAGTAATAGCCTTCCTACATGCTTGAGAATTGAACCTTTGGCTTGTTGAACCTAAAAAACCACCATCACCACTTACAAGGTTTCTTTGTGTGGGATCTTTCTGTAAAAGGTTAGGGTTTTTGTGACACACTTTTGAGTGAGCTAACATGTTGGATGTTCCATGTGTTTTAGGGTCGCATCGGTATCTTTTGTGACAATGTTTACACGCAACTATTAGTTCAAGTTCATCAGGTAAAATGTTAAAGTCTAACCAAACAGAGGAAGTTTTCCTAGTTACACTAGCATTAGCTTGTCTTTTTTTCCTAGCAGGGGGAACGTGAGGAAGTGCAGATTCTACTTGTGTAGGTTCAGCATGGGAAACAGGATGTTCCGGCACTGAAAATATTTGGGTAAACTAAAAGAATCAATCCTATATTTTGACATACTAAACAAGGTAAAACTTTTAAACACAAACACATACCTTGACTCAACCCTTACAAACTAGCATTTTTAGCACCTTGCAAGCTCCCTTCTTCAGCTCCTTGCAAGCTTCCTTCTTCAGTTCCTTGGAAGTTCCATTTTCCATGTTCCATCTTCCAATAATCAAAACAAATCAAACAATAAAGAAAAATAGCATGAACAAATCAAAGTTCAAGACAAATGTTTTTGTGGGTTTGTAATAGATAGCATAAAAATGGAAGCTTTGTGTTGTCTGAGAGAGAAAAGGAGAAACAAATAGAGAACAATGGAAGCTTTGTGTTGTCTGAGAGAGAAAAGGAGAAACAAACAGAAAACAAGGACGAGAGAACAAAACTTACATGATCGGCGATGGCGCCGTGGTGAACTCGGCGGTGGTGAACTGAATGTGATATAATGAAAACCTAGAAAGATAGAAAGATAAGTGTATAGAAACTAGAAAGATAGAAAGATAATATGATGAACATGATAGTTGCAAAGCAGGAGACGGACCAAATATTGGAGACTGACCTAGAAAGATAATATGATGTCCAACGTTAGATAATATGATATACTAGATGGTAGATGAGTGTGATTTAAAATCTTTTCAAAATATAACTCTTATAAGTAACTAAATTTAATATCAATAAAGTTTCTTCTGTTTTAAAACAACAACAACTTACCAAAAAAAACAAACAGCACAAAACAAACAGTACAAAAATAATTGGACCGGTCGGTTTCGGTTTTCTTTGGATTCAATTCAGTCATCCGAAACCGACCACTTAAACTCATATAAACCCAACAATTACTCATTTCCTAATCCAAAAACCAACCCTATCCAAACCGTGCGTGTGTGGGTCTCATGGATCGGTCGGTTTGGGCCGGTTAAATTTTTTTTTGTCCAGCCCTACTTCACATCACATGTCATGGTTTCTTCTTCTTTATTTATTCTTTTTAAAATTATTTTTCATATATATTTTCTTGCTTAAATTATAAATTTATGTAAATTGGTGCATATTTTTCTTTACTTAAACTATTCATAAAGTTTATTTTTTGTCCTACAAATAAGTATTAAATGATGAAAAACTTTTTGATAACACAGAGAGAAGAATAAAGTAAAAGACTTATTATTATATTTAATAATATATGTTGTAAACAAAATCAATATCATAAAATTATTATTATTACTATTACTGGTTTATTTCTTTTTGAATAATGACAATAGTTAATCTTTATTATTTCTAAATTAAAATACTTTTATTTGTTTTATATTTAGTGCTTTTTTACATTTTTTTTATTACGAAATTTTTATTATTTTTTTAGAGTAATGATAATGTAATGATTATTTTTTATTATTTATAAGTGATTTTTTTTAGTAAATTTGTGTTTGTTATAAAATTTTCCTAATTTATTTATTGTGTGACTATGTTAAAGAAATCAAAAGGCAAAAGACAAGAGACAAAAAAAACTACCAATATGAAAATCAATATCATTAAATTATTATCATTATTATCACTGATTTTTTTTAATAATGACAATAAATTATCTTTATTATTTCTAAATTAAAATATTTTTTTATTTTATTTTTAATTAACTATGATATTTATGTTGATATCAACGGATTTATATATAATAAGATGTAGTAAAAATTGTATATATCGCATATTAACAAATAAAAGATAATGCACAAATATTTATCAGTATTATTTATCTTTGATAAATCACTAAGCATAAAAAATTTATTGGTTATAAATCTATCATATAAAAAAATTGTGTGTTCTTTAAAAGATATTATTAGTTTATGGTAAAACAATTTTTAAAAATTTATTGGTTATAAATCTATCATATATAAAAAATTGAAATATACATTATTGATATAAAACAATTTTGATAAAATAATTTATTTTATTTTAAAAATATGTCTTTCTTTTAAAATTAATAAACTATTTTGATAAAATAATTTTATTTTTCTTATTTATACTTTTATTACATTTTAAAAACAAAAGCGTGTGTACCACGTCAGTAGTAGGGCAAACACACGAGTATTGATTAGGAGTGAAAATAGACCAGACTAATTAACCGGACCTACGGCCTAACCTACATAGGCCTAGGTAAGACCATACTTTTTTTTAAATGGAAAAGGCTTGAGTTTTTTTATAAGTCGTAAAGAGGCTAGGCCACAGGATGTAAGAAAATCTTTTTAAGCCTATCAAGTCGGTCTATTTAATAAAAATTCAATAATTTTATTATTATTATATTATATTTTGCACTTTGAATTAAAATACAAAAATAAAGCTAAATTATCTTAATAAGTTTATGAAAATAATTTGAAAAAACATTATAAACAATGTCATAACTTGTTCTCATAAGTTCTCTCCAACAAATGGCATCAACAAATTAACTTATGCTAATAGGTAAACTTGAATGAGTCAATGAAAAGAAACATTTTGTCTCATTAAATTTTTAATTTGTTATTCTATTTAACATTAGTTGAATTTCTTATTTACAAATGTTCAAATGAAGTAGGCTTTTAAAATAGGCTAGTAGATCAATCAGACATTCGAAAAGGCTAAGTTCGGGCCTAAAAATAAGTATATGACAAACTACAGTTCAGACTTAGGCTTTTTAACAGGTCAAATTCAGACTTGAAAATCTAGCTCGACTCAGCCTATTCTCACCCCTAATAAAGATATGATAAAATTTAAAATAATAAATTTTCTTGGTTAAAACTAAATGATATTTGTTGATATTTATAAAACTAAATTATTGCATATATTTGAAATCATTTTTAATTTATGATACAATTTTTTTAAACGTAATATATGAAAAATTGAAATATATATTTTTGATGTAAAACAATTTTGGTAAAACAAATTTTTTTTATTTTACAAATATGTCTTTCTTTTAAAATTAATAAACTATTTTAGTAAAAAAATTTGTTTTTCTTATTTATATTTTTATTATATTTTAAAAATAAAACTGTGCGTACTACACCAATACCCGGAAAAATAGATGGGTATTGATATGATAAAATTTTAAAAAAAATAAAATTAGTTAAATAATTTAAATAATATATGAATTCGAATATGTACAAAACTTATTTATTTATGTTACTAATATTTATTTATACAATTAAAAAATATTTTTAAATACTATGTTATTAGTTGATATTTATAAATCTAAATATTGCATATATTTGATATTATTTTGAATATTTATTCTTTTTTTATATATTTTTTTATATTTATTAATTTTTATTAATTGTATATCTTTTTTAATTTTAAATGTAATTAAATGCGTGTTACCAATCCGTACTCGTGTGAAGACACAAATATCACACTAGTGGTAAGTAATAAAGAAAAGTTTTTACATAGAAAAATCACAATGCTTAGATCTTTAAAAATATTTGATTTTTAACTGTAACTATCGCAAAAATCATTTTCATAAATAATTGTTGTATAAATTATTTTTTATGGATAAAGTTTTAAAAATATTATTAATAATTAAGTTAATTGTCTAAAAACAAATATGATGATCAAAATAATTCATTAAAAAATATATACATTTACATTTTTTATACATTTACTAATTATAGTAATAACATCTCATGTATTACATATCACAAATGTTGTTTAAACAGAAATCACAAATTTTCTCTCTCTTTCTCATCCATCCATTATTCAATTGGCATCCTTGAAATCCTCAAAAACAATGGTTGTGACAGCCTAGTCTGTCTAAAATAGTTGTTTATTTTAATCTATTTTTGTCATGCAACAACTATATAAACTCACACACATGCCATTAATGTTCACCCACTACCAATCCTTGTTTCTTAATATTAATTTTCTCAATTTCTTTTTATCAAAGAAATTGAGAAAATATCAAGTTAAATTTCAGAAATGGAGGCAATGAAGATCAATCAATTCTTTATTGTTATGGTTGTGATGGTCATGATGATTGCATCATCAAGTGTGTCAGCCGTAGAAGCACCAACATCAAGTGTTTCAACTCCAGCTCCAGGTCCTACATCTGATGCTACAATCCTCTTTGTGCCAACAATAATTACTTCCTTTGTTGCTCTTGTGTTTGGATTTGTTTTCTGAAGTTATGAAACATGATTATTTACCATAACAATTCTTTAAAGGATTGATTTATATTGGTTTTATGTATTAAACTATTATTTATATTATTATGTAACACATTGATTCCTGTCACTTTATATGGGTTTTGAATTGGATTTTGTGACATTATTGTGACTTTTGTTTAGTTTCATGATGTATTTACTTATATATTCTTGTTTATGATGATGTTAAGAGGCTTATTTCAATTTCTCAATCAAGAAATCTAATTATGAATTTGTAGAATTCAAATATAATAAAACGGAAATAGAATTCAAATATAATGGGAAGAATGAATAGGATTCAAAACTTGCGCATTATGGAAATTTGGATTGGTAAAAATGGTTTCTTAATTTTTAAATGAGGTGTTCTATTAGATATGGGTGTCCTTAAACGGTGGATTTCTATGGTTAATTGATTGATAATAAAGAAAAAAAACTAAAAGGAAAGAATGAACACAGAAAATCCTAAGCTTAAGAGAAGAGGGAGTTGATTACACAATCACATATTCCACACCAAATACTTCCTCATGAGCCTCCAAACTATATTATAGCCATATCATCACTACAAGTGTTACTTTACAAAAACAACTTCACATATGCGAAATAAAATAAAATAATGTGTCACTGCAAATCTCTATTTCGGATACACAACTCTACCACATTCTCATACGGGATGATTCATTTAACGGATCAGCCTCGCCATTGAACCGGTGTGAACCGGTACAAACCGGTATAAATTGGAAAAATCAGAAAAACCGGCAGTTTTGTTTAACCGGCAATTTAATTGTTTTTTTTTTCACTTTTGTTTTTAAATTTTTATTTTATTTTTTTTTAATATACTTAGTAGTGTATTACTTAAATAGCATTCTCACATAAATTTTTTTGGTTAGTAACAAATTACAGACTTTATTAGCTATTTGTTATTTTTGCTAATACATTTTTCTAAATAGTTTGTAACTTTGTGGTTAGTAATAAATTAATTACCTTATTATTTTAACTTTTTAGATTGTTATATAT